AGAGACACAGAGAGAGAGAGATATAGATAAAGAGAGAGAGAGAGAGAGAGAGAGAGAGAGAGAGAGAGAGACAGACAGACAGACAGACAGAGAGAGAGAGAACGAGAGGGAAAGAGGGGGGTGTTTTTCCCCTTTATAACTGCACCCAAAGAGCTTCTCCGATTCTACTCAGGAAATTAATCACACGTGCATGTACACAAGAAGTGCTCAGCGGCACGTGCAAGGCTCTGGTAACCCCCCCGTCCAAATCAAGAAGTATGCAGGATGCAGTGCCTCTTTTTTTAGAAAGGGAAACGAGTGCAAAAAAGCAACCTGTTGGGCCTACTCGAAACCTGTTGTCGAACTGCTGAGTTTCGGAATTTAAGTAGATTCTAAGTGTTTTTGGCACTTGCAACACAATTAGGTCATATAAGTGTCGGTGATTAGGGGTGCTACTTGAGAGTTACACACACAAAGTAAAGGAAAAGGAGGAAATATAGTTAATTTTAGTAAGTGTTGTACGGCACTTGCAACACAATAAGGTCATATAGGAGCCGAAGCTTCGAGGTGTTACAAGAGAGTAACAAACACAAAATAGAAGGAGGGGAGATAAGGGCGATAGATGTTTGACAGGAAAGGAGGAGCAAACCACACTAGAGCACCCGCCAAACAACCACGGAGGAAAGATAAGGACGATAGAATATTATTATGTTTGATAAGAAAAAAAGGAGAAGTCCACACCAAAGCTCCAGCCGCCAACCACTCACGAGATGTTGACTTGTAGTGTTTAATTATAATGGAGTACGCTCGATAATGTCTACATTAAACCAGAAACATATTTATTTAGAAGTTTGTTTTAGTGAGCGTTTTATGGCCCTTGCAACACAATAAGGTCAAATAAGTGCCGGAGATTAGAGGTGTTACAAGAGAGTAACAAACACACACAAAGAAAGGGGAAAAATTAAGACGATAGTGAGACGTGCCAGAAACCTATTTATTTAGAAGTGATAAAGAACACTCATAAGAAGTAGTGGGTGAGAGCACACCCAACCAGGAGTGATTCCACTTATGAGTGAGCTGAACTTCGAGCCGGCAGAAACTGTCGCTCTGCAGCACTTTTATAGACTTCAAAGTCAGTCTACATAATATAGTGTAATTTCAGCTCGCTGGTTAATAATAATTGCATGGCCCCAGAGCCACGACACATAAGCCACTTTTCCTGATTCCAAGCTAATGCATACGTTAGCTAAACTAACCTCATTTTGGAATTTGTAGAGCACAAGATATGCACATTTGCGGTAAAAACGAAATAGGTAAATGGCACATTACGTACACACCCATACACACACACACACACATACAAACACAGACACACACACATACAAACACACACACATACACAAACGCACACTCACAAACACACATACATACCATACACATAAACAAACACACACTCATACACACAAGCATAC